TTAAAATAGAAAACAGATATTTTAAACTGTAATAATATTTCACAACATTACAGTCTTTAGTGTAGATGAAGCAGATAGATAAATAGACCAGCTCACACACACTCAAACCTAAATGAGTCCTTAGAAGTCCTTACAGCTTTCAAAAGGAAAGATGCTCCAACTATTTAAAATACCACTGGTTGCTTTGCTCAATGTAAATTTGAGTACGTTTTAATAATTATGTATATGACATATATATATGACAGATTAACTAAACCATAATATCTGAGGACTAAGCCAAATAACATGTTAGCAGGTTAAAATCAGTGTGACGTTATCAGGTGCATCTAGGTCTGAGATGAACTGTGCATCACATTGTCAGATATGCAAGCTTTGTTATGACACAAGCCAAATTTATTCTAAGCAACTTCATAATATTAAGTATACTTCATAATATACATAACTTAAGATCTAAGCCAATACGTATCTTCAATAATAAATAAACTGTCCACATTCATACATTCCCAACAAAGTGGTCCTTAGAAATTCTAATAAGGACATATTTTGATAGATATTATATTTGTCAAAAGTAACTGAGCTTAAACTAAATGACCACTGGTTGATTTACTCAATGTAAAAGACCCAATTTTCCTGAATTTACCTTCAATAGATTTCTAAAAGACAGACAGGTAGATAAATAAATACCGAGGCAAAACAGTTCAGCCACACATTCCAATACAAACTGGTCATTACAAGTCCTTAAATCGGTCAATATCAAATGCTTTTATCTGCACAAATAAAATCCTTATATCAGTCAAAACAAAAGTAACTGAGCTGAAACTACTTAAAAATACCACTGGTTGTTTCTCAGCATAAACAAAAAGTACCCAAATTCACACTTGTATAGCTATTTATGTATTAAACAAACAGCTGTCAAAAGTGAATCAATTTACATTGTTTTCACCTTGAATAAATATATTTTAAAATTACATATAAATATACTAATACAAATTTAAAGACAGACAGATACATACTGAGCTATAATAATAAAAAAATACACCAACCAGACATTCATCCACACATTCCAATACAATCTGGTTTTTAGAAGTCCTTAAACATGACTAAAGCCCCGTTCACACCTAGAATGATAACTATAAAGATATAGTTCAAAAAATCGTTCTCAATATTAAAGAATAGCATAGTTCACGCCACAACTATAACGATATCGTTGGAATCACTTTCAAAACGATTTTTTTTTTCAGCTGACGAACCGATGAAACACTGACAGCCAATCAGAATCCGTCCTGCTGTAACGAGCTCAAGCATTTAAAGCGGCAGACGCATAAACAGGCGATATCGTTCGCTGGTGTGGACGCTAATATCATTATCTTTATAGTTATCGGTCTTGGTGTGAACGGGGCTTTAATCAAATCCTTATATCTGTCAAGCCTTCACACCTGACAAAAGTAACTGAAATGCACCCAAAACACTGGTGACTCCAATACCAATAACTCTAATACGAGAACATGCATGGCAAAATGATCAATAATCAGCAATTCACTGAAGAAGAAAAAAAAACATAAAAATCAAGGGCTCAGCAAAGAAAATCAAATGACGGCACAATGTCAACATCAGAGACAACGGACAAAATATCCACGCAACTACAATTAAATTGAATTAAATAACTGAAATTAAACTTACCAAATGCTTTTTGGTTGAAAGAAAAGCGCCGATTGTTCTCCGGGATGGTTGTGCGGACTGTGAAGAGGGGATGAGGGAGAGGGGAAGAGCCGAATTCCCTTTTTCAATCACATCCCTCTATGGCACAGCAAAAAGTTTCAAAATAATAAATTAGAGCAAAATCAGAGCGGTTAAAATTACAAACAACTTGGCGTTATCATGCACTGATTTTGGTTCAAACGTCCGCATGCTACGCGTTGCGTAGAGGAACAACATGACAGAAAAACAAACAGAAACAAGAAAGTGTCTGTGAGTGCAGACAGCCCGTCAGATGAATCCAGGCTATAAACCCACTTCACTCTGCTAGTCTCTTAGCTAGCGAAATAAAGACGTCGTACCCTTTTACACTGCAAAAGAATGCATTCAAAAGCATTGGTATCCCACCTGCTCGTGAACGGAGAAAGTCCTCTTGAAGAGCAATGCGTGAAAATAATAATGCTAAAAAGGGCGCCGAAAGCGTAGACGTGCACAAAGGCGGTTTCCGATTTCAGTTTAGCAGGTCATTTTTACTCATCCCGTGGAAAAACACTCTCGCAGGCCTCTCCATCGCTTTCGATCCGTTAAACAAACCCCAGTTTCCGCTCGCTGACGCTCAACCTCGCGCGATGGCGTTCTCACCATAAGATTTCGACTGAAACTGCTCTTCCAGGCCGTTTTCCGCTTAATTTTTATGCGGATTATGGTCGGCCAAATATTTTCCGCCCCGTGTCAATTTCTAGTGCCCCCGTCTTCCTTCGGGTACTTCTGTTCGCCTCACAGTGGTCGTTTCCGGGCAGTTATACAAGTTCCGGGTGGTGTTACACGTTAAACCGTCCGACATTATCCTGCTTAGCGCACTGAAATCAGTTCGAGATGAAGTGGGGTCAAAGAAAGGCTTTTTCATTCGTGAGTTCAGGCTGTAATTTGTTTGAGTTTATTGAAGTTGGATGACAGGGACATGGTCAGAAGTTTGTATTTTACGGAATTCGTAGTCTCGTAAATGTTACGGGTTAGTAAACCAGAGTCTAAACGCGTCGAAAACAAATGGCGCGCGGCGCGTCTAAATGTCCCAGTGTTGTGTGACGTAGTAACACATTTTCAAAGCACACATTTCACGAGCTGCCCGCGCGAGACTCAAAACCAACACATTTCATCTCTCTCGCGCTGCGCGTTGACTAATGCAAAATAGCAGTCGGAACAGCTGTTCCGCACATATGCGAGCCAGAGTAATTAGAACAATTATGTCACCTTGAGAGAGAACGACAGAGAGAGAATGCGCGCAGCATTTTTAGACAGCACATATATTTTGGAAAGGATGCAGGGCACAGCACCTCTCTGAAGCCATTTTACCAACATGCCGCCGCCGTCTCCCCCCCACCCTACTCGAACATAAGGTCCTCGCCCACCCTGCCCCTCAAAATGGCGAATGCCGGTGATGCCTCGTCCGTCTCCCTCTAACACATTTCATCTCTCTCGCGCTGCGCGTTGACTAATGCAAAATAGCAGTCGGAACAGCTGTTCCGCACATATGCGAGCCAGAGTAATTAGAACAATTATGTCACCTTGAGAGAGAACGACAGAGAGAGAATGCGCGCAGCATTTTTAGACCGCACATATATTTTGGAAAGGATGCAGGGCACAGCACCTCTCTGAAGCCATTTTACCAACATGCCGCCGCCGTCTCCCCCCACCCTACTCGAACATAAGGTCCTCGCCCACCCTGCCCCTCAAAATGGCGAATGCCGGTGATGCCTCGTCCGTCTCCCTCAGGAACCATTTAAGAACCTGAAACGGCCTAGTTTGGATCAATAAATACAATAAAACCGAATATTATACTGCAGAAAAAAGGATTTGATGTCAAATAAAATTATAATTTACATCATAGCAATGGAAAACTAAATACATAAATAAAAAAAGTTAAGTAAACACAATTTTAGACCACCAAATATAAAGAAAATGAAAAACATGAATGAATGCAAGTGAATGAGAAGCTGAGATTGATGGTATGCAAATGTGCGGAACCAACTTTGAACCTTGAGACAATACATCAGCCATTACGTAGTTCTCTCTCTCTCTCTCTCTCTCTCTCGTTAACGTCCATCCACAAATACTAATCCAAATTGACCCTAAGTCATTATAGCGGTCAAATCTATAAACAGAGTTGCATCTGTTTAACAGATCACTGGCTGTTTCACCCAGTGTAAACAAACAATTAATCTAATACAAGATCAAAATACTCAGCACATATGCCCGGTTTCACAGACGGGGCTTAAACTAAGCCAGGATTAGGCCATAGTTCAATTAGGACATTTAAGTAATTTTTATAAACGTGCCTTAGAAAAAAACATTACTGGTGTGCATCTTGAGACAAAACAAAGGCACTGATATATTTTAACATCAGTCAGTGCAAGTTTCTTTCAGTTGAAACAGCTCAGACTTACATTTTAGTCTGGGAATAGGCTCAAGCCTGGTCTGTGAAACCGGGGGATACTATATTAGGATGTAAACATCTCAAAAACATGTAAAACCAACCAACATGTTTAATAATTCATGAGGGAAAAAATACACAAGTACACATCAATCTCCAGGAAATGTATTTCTTAATGGCGAGGATTTTATTTAAAAATAATAATAATAATTTAAGTTTTAATATTTTATGCATGGCATTTTGGCATTACCCCCCAGAAAATTTACAACAAGGTTTATGTATCTCATGGCAAAAAAACAATTATATTAAAAAAATAAATAAAATAAAAATAGTCTTAAACACTCTTGTGATTATTTAGTTTTCCGTAACTTTGGTGAATGCAGCAATGGAAAATGTTTTTATTATTATTATTATTATTTGTTTTTGTTTTGCATTCAAAGAGACACTCACTTAAAAAAATGAATTATAATTTGGGTTTTCTGAAATGCACATTCTCTGACTTCACACAAAGCAAAAGTCAGATAAAATGCGAGATAAAGCATTCCAAAATAGACACTGAAATACACACAAGCACACAAATACAGACACACAAACTGGACACACACACCTTGACATCAGAAGTCAGCAATATGACATCATCAACACTGGCTTTGACATCTTCATGCGTTTTGTCTTTTCACTATGATTGCATCTGCTTTTTTTTGTAGAGTTACAAAGGTTAGAATCCACTGGAAACTCATATAAACAGAAAACAAGAATAAAAACAATTTCTAAAGTCAGAGAGAATAAACAAAACAATGTTTATAATTAAGAATATGAATAATATTGATGACTATATATATATATATATATATATGCACATAAATTGGCATGTGTACATATTTGAACATTCGGGATTTAACTGATTTTTTAAAAACCTTTTTTAACGTATTTAAATTCAGTTAAAGTTAATAAAAGTTAAACATTGCAGAGTGATCTAAAAAACTATATTATGGCCCAATAATCTTGCTCAGCCAGGTCATTCTCAGACATTCCACCACAACAGTGTCCATTTGATGTGGAGACAGCTGAAAAACACAGAAATTGCTAACAAAAAATACATTTTTTTTTTAAATATAATATAGATAAACAAGACACCTTTTAATCCTAAATCCTAACTCATCGGTTAGATAATAATGCATCCTAGTGTGACACCGAGTGTTTGAAGTAGCTTTGCAGATTTTGTTCTGTTTTTCTGTTTTGTACACTCATTGGCATATAGCCTATGTTCCGCACAGCCGTGTCAAGGGAAAAGATAAAAAGCCGTCAGAACACGGAAGCACAGACACACATGAAGTTTCAGAATAGCCCTTGGAATAAATTGTCCATTGTATAACCAAACCCTTTCCCCTTTCACCCTTCAATACAACAGCTCGAGTTGCAAATTAAGTATGAAGAGTATGCTGTCTTATTTGACATTACTGCATGCCCATGATTAAATCTCAGCTCTTAATGCTTATAAATAACAGAACATCTGTAATGACTCCAAGACGTCATATAAAGCTGTTCTCTGATTGGTCAAACATGCAATAAAGAGGCATGACTTCTATCAGATTTCAATGGCTGAATTAAACTTCCAAATGTCTGTCTGCTCGAGCATTTTTAGTCCAGACCTGATTTACCCATCAATCTGACAGCCTTTTGATCATATCATAAAACAGCCAAAATGTTATCCACAATGCAAAAAAAAAATCAAAACCACAAGTATTCTTGTCAGCTTTGATGTACAGTCTCAGTATAAGAGGCTAAAAATCTCTGATCATCAGTATAACACCCGTCTCTCAATGACTGTTTTCCTCCATTATACTCCATATGAATAAGCTCTAATATGGCTGATGACATTTGGATTTATATTAACAGTGCAGACTAAAGTGTCAGGTCACAAAACGAGTGACATTTTTCAAGTCCTCAAGTTCTTCTCTCTGATGAATTACCAGTATTTTCTTCACTTGATGGCAAACTGCTTAATGTGCACAATACTCCCCAAGTCACAATCCATTGCCAAGGTAAGTCATATAAGATTTGAGACTGGTCAAATCATTGTTTCCGTGAGGTAATTCAGTGTACTACTGGACACTTGTCAGTTTCATCCAGTATATCTCATTGTTCCCTTGTTTTTCTGATGAATGTGACACACCTCTTTGCGAATGACTTTGCGTTGAATGAAACCAAAAATTTGGAGGCAAGGTCAACTGTATCATTGGATTCAGGAAAAAAACAAATTAACGCCTAAAACTATTTTTTACATCAGCTGGAATGTACTAACTATAGAAAACATGGCCTATTCTAATAATTAATCTTTTCCTTTTGGTATCTCCCCAGATCATGTCTGAATAGTGCCATGGAAACACTATTTGCTACTCACAGGTCAGAGGAGACCTGGGCCCTTCTTCACATTTCTATTTATTGAGAATTTGACAATTTAGGGATCTACAGAATCACTTATGCTATAGTTTTTACATCCCTCTTTCTCTCAATAGCAATACATTGTGTATTCCCTTCATATGGGCCTAATTTCTGACCCCTTTCTTATTTCCTTGCTCCTTTCCATTCTTTGTTCCATCTTCCCACCCTTCAGTTTGGATCACACCTCATCTATCCATCATCTCATCTATCCATCATCTCCTTACTATCTTTCTTTTTGCGCTCACACGGTTACTTCGTTCTTGCTCCCCGTCCTCAGCGCCTGACTTCCACCCCCTACGCCCCCTCCCCCACTTCCCCCGGGGAGGAAATGCAGCTGTTCAATGGTGTTCTGGCGTTTTGAGGCGAAGGCCATCCGTCGAGCGCTGTGCACCATCGCTCCGGGTCCTCCTCCGGAGCCGTGGACCTCCCCCCATCCCAAACTCCCGGCCCCATGACCGGAGGACATAGTGGCGACTGTGTGGTCTTGCTCGCGGCCGGAGGTAGGGTGCGAATTCATTTTGATCATGTGATGGCGGTCGAGCGAGGGCGTCACACACACGTTCTGCTGGGATTGCGCTTTATGGTGGTGGGTGAGACGGGACATGGTGGGCACCATCCCGCCGTAATCACCCATCATTCGCTCCTCCAGGCGGTCCGGAGACACCAGGAGGCGTTCGTGAGACTTGCGCAAAGTCTGGGTGTTGGAGCTCTTGCTGGTGGCCATGGGTTTGTAATACAGATGCTGCTGGTTCCTGGAGAGGCGTGAGAGAGTGTTCCCCTCCCCCAGCGCCAGAAGCTGGTCTTGGGACATCACCCGGCGAGGCGGTTTACTCATCGTGTCGAATGTGGGGTTGTACTGCATCTGGGGTAATGGGTAGGGGTTGGGGGTGGAAGTGGAACTGGGCACGTGGATGCGCGTGTGGGAAGTGTTTAGCGGGAGGGTACCTCGGGCACCCAGTGTGAAGTCACCACCCCAGGGCAGGTGGTGCTGGGAGGAGTGGAAGCTGGGTGGTGCATTGTCTGGCCTTCGCCTGGAGGTGTAATATCCGGAATATTCATCCAAGTTTTTCTCTGTAGTTAGGAAATATGAAAATTAGTTTCTTTCATAAATTTCACCCATTACACCTGCCATTAACAAGCATTTTGGTGATCAGATTTCACTTGACCACATTTACAGTTTGACACATTTACTCAGTTGATTTGGTGCATTTCTCAGATTAGAAATGAAATTCTCAAAACTACTTGTTCAACCTCCACATCATCTAGTCACTTGTGCACATCAAAAAAAGCAGTTTCTCATTCTTTTGAACAAGTTGCGATTGCTTTGGTACATTCATGCAATTGATTATGTACATCTGTCTGCTGTTTCCTACATTATCAGTTGCTAATGTCATGTTGCTCAAAATGTATTAAATTGTTCTCTGTGCAATAGTCTTACCCCCCAAAACATCTAGTCATTAGTTCATCGTATAAGTCATTAAATGCAAAATGGTTGATCTAGTTGTCATAAATTGTCAAGTATATTTTCTAGACATTTCTATTAGACTTTTTGTAAATTTGCCATGAATTGTGCAGGGGAATCTTGACTTTCACTAATGAAGAGAATGTAGATCAGCTAATGATAAACCAGTTCTCTGAAGTAGCTCAAAGGTGCATCTCATGAACCTTCAATTGAGAAGCATATATAGACAGAGGACAACACAAGATTTACAAATTCTGACAATGGATATTTCCTCCCTGTTGGCCTGGTAAATCAACAGAAGCTCTGTGGCCGATGACATTTCAACCATGCCTTCTGCTTTTGGTCAGGTTGAAGCCAGCCTTAGCCACATATATGAAGTTGTGAGATGGTTCACATGACTCCAATTCCACGTTGCAAAGATATTCGTTGTGATGTAGATGAAAATCTGTAGGCCGACAGACTGGCACGTCAGGAGGTGTAGACAGACTGCACTGCAATTCCTCATACAGTGCTGCATGCAAAAGCAACGTTCTGGTGTTTCCTGTGTTTGCATTTCTAATTTTGTATTTAAAGTAATAGTAACTGTCATCCAAACTGTTGCCATATAGTTTACATCAGGTGATACTAACAGATTGCATTGTTATATTGACAACATGACTAAGCTTGTTTGTGAACAATGACACAAGGACTTCACATTCATTCTGATGGCACTGATATGTTCATTGTCATAAATACTTACTTTTAAGAGATGAACTAAACATTTTGAGAAAGTTACAGGCTTTTGCAGGTAATCCATTGTGTGGCGCTGTTTGTACAAATTGTTTTGAGAAATGCACATACTTCTTTGCAAATATTAAGGATGACTCGAGAAATGCACCAAAGCAACTGAGAAAAACTGTAAATGATGCAATGTGATTGAACCTCTGGTCTGGGACAGATGTAAACCACATTTAATGAAGGTGTAACAAGCAAATGTGTTTTCTGCATTCAGCTATGCATGTAATATGCAATGGTAAAAATAATCGCTAAAAACGCTGCATTGCAGATTCTTTGGTAACACCTCACAATTAGGTTCAGTTCGTAAACAGATCATGCATTAGGCCTTATGAACAAACAATGAACATTACTTTTACAGCATTTATTCATGGTGGTTAATGTTAATTTACTTGTACTACTATTTTTTTATATTTAAATACTTAATATTTAATGTAAATAAAGCATATATTTTAAAATTAACGAAGTATATGTTAACATATCTTAATGTTTTAATAACAAAGAACAAGTATATATATTTATGAATTCATTTTAAACTAGATGCTGTAAAAATGGTTCATTTTTAGTTCATGATTCTTAATGCCCGGCATTAAGGGCCGGCAGCCATATCACACTGTAGCCCAAGACTGGTTACCTACTGAAGCTAAGCAGGGCTGAGCCTGGTCAGTACCTGGATGGGAGACCTCCTGGGAAAACTAGGTTGCTGCTGGAAGAGCTGTTAGTGATGCCAGCAGGGGGTGCTCACCCTGTGGTCTGTGTGGGTCCTAACGCCCCAGTATAGTGACGGGGACACTATACTGTCAAAAAGCACCTAAACCGAGGTCCTGACTCTCTGTGGTCATTAAAAATCCCAGGATGTCTTTCGAAAAGAGTAGAGGTGTGACCTCGGCATCCTGGGATTTTTATCCCACTTTCATTTTGACTGTAAGTCACCTTTTTGTTGCAGTAATTCCCAAATTCTTTCAATTATAGTTTTCAAGCATTGATTGAATATAAATATGATCAAACTGAAATATTTGTTCCCCAACATGCTGATGAAATTATACATGTAAAAAATCTACAATGCCACAGGACATCCTTCCTAAAACAGCAGCAGTTGACCCCATGCTACACTCCCTCACAAAGACCCTCTTGAGTAGTAGCAGTTCTGAAACTACACACTCTTTTTCAGACGCACACTCACCTAGTCTCTTGAGGGAACTGTAGCGGTTGAGCTCTGGTTTCATGACGGTTTCGTATGATGGAGGTAGCTGGGCAAGGTTGTGGAAGGAGTGAGAGAAGGAAGGGTGAAAGCCAGAATTATTGTGCTTGCTGGACTGCAGTGTTCCTGTGGAGGCCAGCTGGGTGTTGTTTATGCGTGGAACTCTCTCTAAGAGAGAAGAACAAAAGACAATAAGACAAACACCAACAACTGATGTGTTCAAAGCATATCTATCTGGGTCGAATGTAGAATATAGATTAAATGATTTATGTGCCTAAAAATGATTTAAATGATATATGTGTCTGATTACACTGAAGCTGTATCCCGAGTCTCTGAATGTTTCAAACGCAGATGTCTAATAATTACCTAGAATACAATGGAACTGGAGTATTTGTGTAGAGATATGTGACTAGAATATTGTCTTATTCGTCGTTCCACCAAATTTATTATATCATTATGTAATGATAATATCCTTATTCATGTAGTAATTTGTTCCACTGACACTTTTATAAGTAATTTGCTCTGCACGTACTACAGGGAGAGTCCCCCCGGAGCAACCTTGGGTTAAGCACTGCAGATTAAATGTAGTCAAGGGTCACAAGGGGATCTCAGCAACTCTCCAGTTCATAGATCATCTTGCTGAGATTTACAACTTAGGTACCTTGAAGTTAGCAGTCCAGTTCAGCCCACCAGCCCAAATTCACCCTGGCATGCAATTTGTGTTATTGTGTCTCATGAAGTTAAAGGCTTTTAATATTACTTCAGAATAAAACTGTTATGATTCTCACATATATGTTACAAAATATTGTATGTAAATATCATACATAATATTGTGTATAATATACATACAATATATATGAAGAGTTCCAATGCAAAAGCCTCTAAAAGCCATCTTGGTCAAAAATGAGATAACAATACTGAGTGAATGCTCTCCACATATATATGTTTATCAAGTACTTTCACTTCAAATGCGCTAAATCCCAGCCTCAACCCATTCAGAAGTACCAGTACTTACATAGAAACCTATACATAGTAGCCAGAAAGAAATGCTAATTTTAAAGAAAAACATCAAATCTGAACTCTTCATATATATATATACATATACTATATTTAATGATATAAGTGGCATATAAATATTCTATCCATCCATCCATCCAAAGAAGAGGAAGAACTGAAAAATGTACATTATACAAGATGTGTTAATAAACAAAATTCCTCTTTTGGCTTTACAAATTTCTTTCCACCACCCACCCTCCCAGAAGCAAAATAATAAAAGAAAAGAAAAGAAATTAAAAAAGTAACAGACAAAATATCTGGGATGTGAACCATTTAGAAACTGAAATGACAATGCATTTTAAATTCAAATTCAATTTTTTTGTATGAATTTGAATTGAGGTAGCATTTAAAGAAATTAAACATTTCAACTTGAAAAAAATAAAGGGCCTTGAAGATTAGCAGATCATAGATAGATAGAATGATAGAACATAGAACGATAGACAGAAAGATAATATGATAAAACAGAACAATAGATAGAACGATAGACAGAATGATAGAATGATAAAACATAGAACAATAGATAGAATGATAGACAGAATGATAGAACTATAGACAGAATGATAGAACGATAAAACATAGAACAATAGATAGAACGATAGACAGAATGATAGAACGATAGACAGAATGATAGAACGATAGATAGAAAGAGACAAAATGATAGAACGATAGATAGATTGAACGATAGATAGAACGATAGTTAGAACGATAGATAGATAGATAGATAGATAGATAGATAGATAGATAGATAGATAGATAGATAGATAGATAGATCATTTCAACTTGAAAAAAATAAAGGGCATTGAAGATTAGCAGATCATAGATAGATAGAATGATAGAACATAGAACGATAGACAGAAAGATAATATGATAAAACAGAACAATAGATAGAACGATAGACAGAATGATAGAATGATAAAACATAGAACAATAGATAGAATGATAGAACTATAGACAGAATGATAGAACGATAAAACATAGAACAATAGATAGAACGATAGACAGAATGATAGAACGATAGACAGAATGATAGAACGATAGATAGAAAGAGACAAAATGATAGAACAATAGATAGAACGATAGATAGAACGATAGATAGATAGAACGATAGATTTATGAATTTTACAAAAGCATATACACTACTGTTCAAAACTTTTAAGCAAAGATGAAATAAATAGCTAAAAGTGACATTAAAGAAATGTATAATGTTACAAAATATTTCTATTGCTGTTCTTTTGAACTTATTTTCAAAGAATCCTAAAACATTGGATCATGGTTTTAAAATATTACTGTAAGCAGCACAAATGTTTTCAACATTGAAAATAATATGCCTAAATATTCCTAAAGGATCATGTGACACTAAAGACTGGAGTAATGGGTAAGTTTTATTTTAAAATGTATTATAATTGAAAAAGTTATTTCACGCTTTAATAACATTTCACAATATTACTGTTTTGACAGTATTTGTGATAAAAACAAAATGCTGCCTTGGCGAGCATAATATACTTCTTTTAAAAACATTAAAAAATCTTACATACCTCAAACTTTTGAACATGTAGTGTGAATGTGTTTTTAGGTCTAAATAACATTTACGTTTAAATTCACTTTAACTACACTGTTTGGGGAAAATGAAAAGCATCTTTTAAAAACATCACTTAACCAGTCTAAGACATATGTGTAATTGTTGGTTACTGCATTCCTCAAAACCAGCTGATAAACAACTAGCATTACTACAAGATTTTTCTATTTTGTTTACTGGCCGCTGACTACTCCTCACTTCCTGAAAGTTGCCCCCGAGTTTTATACTTTTGAGCATTCCTATTTTGGATGTTAGTCGATAACACTTTAGCTTTAAAGGTGGAAAACACCTCCTACTTTACTTGCTGCTCTAGTTTCATGTGGTTACATAGCATCATTTGCCTCTGAAACAGAATTAATCTGACTCATTTCTGACACATTCTCTGTTCTACATTACCTCATAATCTCACACAGTCGATCTGTCAACTAAATCATGCCTCCAGACTTCATTTCTGCCCTGTTGTTTCTACAATTCAAACCCCCTTTCTACTTATATCTGATTATACATACCCCTACAAATTTATACACGTTGTGACTACATCAATTATGCCCTTTGCATACAAATTAGCTTTTTATTCGTTCTAAAACTCTTATGAGTGGGTGAGATAGACTTACTCCGGTTGTCTTTGCTCTGGAGGATGGGAGCGTAGAAGTTTTTCGACGTCCGCCCCAGCGTGCCCTCGCTGGAGGTGGCGGTTGTTAGGACCGTGCTGTTGTTCCTCTCTCCTTGCTGAACTGGACTGGACTGGTGACGCAGAATGTCCACCAGCGCTCTGAAGAGAGAGATATAAACAGTAAAAATAAAGGATGAGTGCATGACGGAATCAAAAGGCGAAAGCTGAAAGAGTCTGACATCAAAATCACTACAGATCTCTTCAGATGGCAGTCACTGATGCAGACTCAGATGTGTACAGCATTGTCTCCTTCCACATCATGAGCCCGGTCATAATGGGCCTTTCACTCACCTAGGCATGTTGATGTCTCTGTTCCTCGGTCGTCGAGACAGTTTATGGAAGGCCACTTTAACCCCAATGGCCATAGCCATGGTAAAAGAGATGACTCCTCCAATGACGTAAGCCGTGTTGTTGTTCTGTTGCTGCAGCGGGTCGAAATCTGGGTCGTGTCGGATGGGAGGCTGGGTGATAGGTCCCGTCGTGACGGCCCAGTCGGGTGAGCGGTAATTAGTGCAGGAGTCTTGGTCTAGACGGTTGCGCTGGTGCTCGCAGCAGAAGCGATAATGGCAGGTGCCGCAGCAGTAGATGTAGGTGCCCTTGGTGCAGTTGAAAGTGATGTCAAACTGTCCCATCACATCGTAGTAGCCCTGACACACGTCCACGTCTACCAGTCGCCGAGGAGGAGGGGCGACCTGCGCTGCACCCAGTGGGGGCTTCAGGGCATCGGCCGTCACGTTGCGGGGTAGCATAATCTGCGGCAGGGGTCTCGGAGGGATCTCGGCTGCCTCTGGATCTGCTGCCATGGCAGCTTCCTCCTTGCCCCGCACATCGGGCTGAGGGAACTTACGGCTGCGTCCCCGCAACAGAAGCAGCAACGGGCCCCCATTCACAGAGGAGCGTTCAGAGGTAATAGTCACTGTGGAGACCACAGGGCCAAACAGGAAGAAAAGCAAGATGGCAGAGGGTGGCATCTTGATACAAGGGGCTTTATTTTATCAAAGATGAAAAAAAAATGTGAAGCCTTAGTACAAAAGACTTCTGAGGCCTACAAAAAGCTGATGTCTATCAAAAGTTGCAAGTCAGTGTGGCGATATATAAGACATGTAGACAAGTTAATCTCTTTGACTGTGCATACACTAGTATGCAAATTATTTAATATGCAGAATGCGCATCCAAGTGCAGGAGTTTGGGTTAAAGAAAATAGTATGAGACTCAGTTAGGGTGTAAACATATTTCTGAGGAAATTATAAACCTCAAAGAATGAGGTAAATCTATATACAATTTTACGCTTTAATGTGTGAGAGCTGAAATTTTTTAAAATTTTGATTTGGCACAAAATTAAAAATGTTGAATCTTCTCAATGAACAAATTCTATTTAAATATATGAAAATGGCTCAAATGAGAAACAAAAGGAACAAATATTTGAATCTTGACTTTTGTTGCAAGCAATTTAGTCCTGTAAACAAAATGTATATTTTAACAATGTAAACCTTTTAAAGTGTCAGAATGTCATGGGTACAGCTTCTTCTTAAAGGTGGTTTGATTGAAAAAGTTATTTCACGCTTTAATAACATTTCACAATATTACTGTTTTGACTGTATTTGTGATAAAAACAAAATGCTGCCTTGGCGAGCATAATATACTTCTTTTAAAAACATTTAAAAATCTTACATACCTCAAACTTTTGAACATGTAGTGTGAACGTGTTTTTAGGTCTAAATAACATTTACGTTTAAATTCACTTTAACTACACTGTTTGGGGAAAATGAAAAGCATCGATCAAAGATGAAAAAAAAATGTGAAGCCTTAGTACAAAAGACTTCTGAGGCCTACAAAAAGCTGATGTCTATCAAAAGTTGCAAGTCAGTGTGGCGATATATAAGACATGTAGACAAGTTAATCTCTTTGACTGTGCATACACTAGTATGCAAATTATTTAATATGCAGAATGCGCATCCAAGTGCAGGAGTTTGGGTTAAAGAAAATATCAAAGATGAAAAAAAAATGTGAAGCCTTAGTACAAAAGACTTCTGAGGCCTACAAAAAGCTGATGTCTATCAAAAGTTGCAAGTCAGTGTGGCGATATATAAGACAAAGTTAATCTCTTTGACTGTGCATACACTAGTATGCAAATTATTTAATATGCAGAATGCGCATCCAAGTGCAGGAGTTTGGGTTAAAGAAAATAGTATGAGACTCAGTTAGGGTGTAAACATATTTCTGAGGAAATTATAAACCTCAAAGAATGAGGTAAATCTATATACAATTTTACGCTTTAATGTGTGAGAGCTGAAATTTTTTTAAATTTTGATTTGGCACAAAATTAAAAATGTTGAATCTTCTCAATGAACAAATTCTATTTAAATATATGAAAATGGCTCAAATGAGAAACAAAAGGAACAAATATTTGAATCTTGACTTTTGTTGCAAGCAATTTAGTCCTGTAAACAAAATGTATATTTTAACAATGTAAACCTTTTAAAGTGTCAGAATGTCATGGGTACAGCTTCTTCTTAAAGGTGGTTTGTTTAAGACTGTGTAACTGAACTGATCTATGGCACTAACTATTAATTCAAGACTCAATCGGAGTTCACCTTATGGGCAACATGTAAACATTTCTGTTCGAGTGTAAACTATATCTCACCAAATGTTCTCTATTCTGGTTGGCACTTCAGTTGTCAACTCACTAAACAACCGTATAGAAAGAATCTATTCCATGGACTTGTAAACAATTGTCATTATCAGCTCTAAGAACTGATGTTGTCTTGTAAACAAATCTCAGTTGGTTGCTGCTTTGCAATGAGAATGTCTTGTGAGACTAACAAGAATACCTTTCAAGGTCACTGAGGTTCTGTTGTGCAGTCCACATAATCAGGCTAACAGTGTCAGTTCTCAAGAAAAATACTAAGTACTTCATCTTTTCGAGTTTCAGAAGGAAGCCATTGTGGCTAGAGATAAAGGTAAGACGAAGCAATGAATGAGCAAGTGTTCAGAAATTGGGAACAGCTGATCTTTTCTCTAAAGGTGGCACCACGGGACAAAGGCTCATTACGAAGGCTATAGAAGAGTGTAGGTCGGTTAGGGCACTCACAAAGTGTAACAAACAGCAGGTAAATATTAGTTCCTGGTTTGATGACACAAGTCAGGCCAGAAAGGAAGAAGTGTTCAGGAAAGGAAGAGAGGAAATGGAAGGTTGAACTTGAAAAAGTTTGAGGGTCTATGTGTGTTGGACCCTCTTGCGTGAGTGTCTCTGCTCTGGATTTAGCTCAACCCAACAGAATAAAACGAATGGGGGCTTGGGCCCAGTTCTGGCAGGACAGCATGGTTGAGCCCACTGAACAGGCATGAAGTCAGGATTCATCCGTCAATGTGGAACACGTGGAAATCGTCAAGCAGACACACCAAAGACCTATCCTAAGTGTTAAAGAGTGTCTTTTCAAGTAGTGTGACAATTTTAAACGTCGTCCCACTGTCAACACAGTAAATGCGTCAATGGCTCGCTGGTGAATATGGCAGATTACGGAACGTCAAACCTGGACCACCGTTGAACATGCACAGCTCTAAAGATATTCCTGAATATACCCATGCACCTGTTCTTTCCGAATGACCAAGCTGAATCCTTGCAATGATGGCAAGGATCTTGACGTTAGTATGGCTATGAGACGTATGGCTTCAGTATCTAAACCCTTCAGAGACTTCTGAGGGTTCTGCTCTAAATGTGCAGAGTCTGTAGAAGAGGGAGGAGCAAACAAGATGGATGACTAAAGAGGTCTGATGGAGAGAAAGAGTTAAACAAGGAACAGACGGTTAATCAACAGAATTAGCAGCAGCTCACTTTGGAAAGTTTAATGAGGCTTGTGCCAGCCATCCATAAGCCCATCCATCCATCGATCAATCGATCAGGAGCCAAACTCTTTCAGGTTAATGCATTCGTATAGGCCACTCTTACATAAAGCATGTTTAACCAATAATGCACTGTTCTCCCTATTTTGGGGATCAAAAGCTGCTTGTTGTTTTTGACTTAAACTAAGTGATGGACATATAAACTTTTCACCTTGGGAACCGTTACATGCTATTATAGTGAAAAAGACTAGTAGTGAAGATAAGGTAAAAATTGTGAACTAATGTTGGTGTAAATTGAGTTTCAATGGCTTAAATGGATCAACAAAAATGCAAAAATACTAGTGAAATAAATTCTTGCTTCTGGTTGGCACGGTTAGTGTTTGGCACTGGTTTCGGTAGCAAAAAGTCAAAGAGAAAATCTTCAATCTGTGCAAATCAACATCCTTTCAAAAAGCCTCTGGCTCACAAAAACAGTGATAGTTCATCTGCTTTAGAAAAGAAGACGACTTGTATTCCTGGCCAGGACTCCATTCGTTTTCATCCAGGCTGATGGCTTTTTGTCTTGGCTTCTGTTTTCCTTTGTTAGTCTTGGATTTTCACTGAAAGACAAAAGAAAGTTAAGAATGAATCAAATATCTAATCTGCAATGAGCTCATATGTCCATCAGAAACTTGGAGGATGAGAAATGAAAAATATCTTGTTATTAAGGAGTCTTGGGCACAACACAAAGCAATGCATTGTTTGCAAGTGCCAATCTACGTCACAATGTGCATTAATCGTCCTTTAAACATAACTCATCCTCTTAAAATTTAAAGTCAGAAGAAATAGTTTTACGCTTTAACTCAGATATTGCATGAAGCAGCTGTTGGACTGATGCCAGATTTATTCATTTGTTATGAATAATCTTAGTTTTTTCACATTTTAAATATAAAAGTGAAAATTATAAAAATTAAATGAAGTTGTTTTTTAATGTAATTTACTGAAGTATCCAAAATTATACACTGTATTACAATATTGTTATTTAATATATAAACCATTTTTTTTATATTTCTCAATATTGTTATTTAATACATAAACCATTTTTCTTATATTTCTCTTTAAAAATAACTGTACTGTACAATAAAATAGCTATATATACACCATAACAGTGATATAAAATTACTCACTCTGTGATATGAGATTTTGAGATTATTATTCTGACACTGACATATACGTACACATTCAACCATGAAATTACAACCATCAATAAACTATTTAAACAATAATATCAAATTTGTGCATTCAGGTTCGATTATATTTGTATGTTGTTTCTTTACAACAAAATCAAAGTCATCCAAAATCATATGGTTTTGAATCACATCATCCTCCACGATCGACAAGGTGCAAAGCGTATGCAATATGCACACCATATTTCCTGCATATAGTAGTGCGACCTCAGCTTTCTCACATACTGAGTCACACGTTATGGCAGTGAATAACATGCACATGTTAGCATAACTGATGCAATACAGTGAATCTTAAAACCCTTAATGACAGCACCAGGCACAAAAAAGCAGTACAAAACAGTGTAAGTGCCACTAAAAAGGCTTGTGGGAACATACTTTAGGCTTAATACATTCAAAGAGGTGCAGTTTTGGACGAAGGGAGAGAGGAAGCGGGGGGGTGACACAGCCACAGATGTGTGCTGAGTGGGGGGTTGGCAGGGCAGAGAGAGACCCTATTGAGAGGAGAAGAGAAGACAGGAAGGATGCAGGGATGGGGGAGGAAGGGTCTTTGGGACCAAGGACCCTTATGGAAGAAGGGGATGAGGGAAAAAGAGCAAGGCTACGCACCTTTCAACGGCCCCTCACATGCAGCAACCAAATGCATCTTATGCCCTTTCATTTTAAAACGTGCTTTACGCTCACCGAGTCGCCTCTTTTCTGGAGTTGCCATCGGCAATGCCTTGTGTGGCTAATGATGTTAAGAGAAGGGACAGGGTCCTGGAAGCACGGGCTGCCTTACAGATGTGCGCTACAGCATCTGCACATACTCCTCTGACACACATGCACACTAACTCTCCAAAGACGGCCTGCCACACTACAGGCTCTCGTCCTTCCTTCTCTCTCATACACTTTTTATTTTTCTCGATCTGTTTGTCAGAGCGTGGGTCGAATGTGTTCTCTTAGAATAGCTCTGCTGCAGTGAGTGAGATAGAGAAGGATGTGACATTGAGATGGGCAGATGGATCACCTCGCTTAGTTTGCTCGTTTCATCCTCCCTTTGCGGTAAATATCCTACATACTTCTTCCTATAAGCGAGCACAATACACATCTCAACTCAGCCACCTCTTCCTCTCCATTCCCCACCCCCTTCGTCCTCCTCATCATCATCATAATTTCTCTGACTCAGGAGGATGGGAGGCATCTGTCCCATCTACAAACAGGTGGAGATGACAGATGTCAGGCCAATATGCAGCCCAT